GAGGGGAAGAGTGAGAGAAGGAGGGGAAGAGTGAGAGAAGGAGGGGAAGAGAGAGAGAAGGAGGGGAAGAGAGAGGAGGGGAAGAGTGAGAGAAGGAGGGGAAGAGTGAGAGAAGGAGGGGAAGAGAGAGAGAAGGAGGGGAAGAGAGAGGAGGGGAAGAGTGAGAGAAGGAGGGGAAGAGTGAGAGAAGGAGGGGATGGGAGGGGGGGTGATTAAGGAGGGGAGGAAGAATGAGAAAGAGAGAGAGAGAGAAAAGTCTCAGAGAGTGGGGGATTGAGAGAAAGAACTGGAAAGAAGGGAGGGAGCGTAAGGGGAGAGAGTGGTGGGGGGAGATATTCATTAGTTTGTATGTGCTTTCTGTTTCCTTCTGAGTTGTTACGTGAAAAAGTGAATTGTTGGCTGCTTGTCAGCCCTTCCTCGTCTGCTTACCTGCTGGTCTCTAGTTTTCTTTTATTCCAATAGAAAGTTTTAAAACAGTTCCTTTGTCTAGTTGTCTAACTGTCTGACCTTTTCCCTGCTCTAAATGAGCGTTGTTAGGTCAATTTGCTTCTTTTTTCTTTAAAAAAACCCCCTCAAATGCATTACTGGTAGGTCCTACTTTTTTTCTCCCAGCACTAAATGGCCGTTGTTTTGTGGATGTGTTTCTCTACTGGCCAACAAACAGAATGTGCGGGTGGTTAGCGGGTGCTCTGGTGTGGTCTGCTCCTTCTTTCCTATCAAACACCTATCATCCTTATCTACCCTCCTTTTTTTTATGTTTGTTACGGTACTGGCTTGTAACACCTCTAATCTTCTGGCGCTCATATGACCTTACACAGTTGTGAGCGCTGAAATACCTCCACTAAAAACAAACAAAATGTCTTGTGTTTCCTTTGTCCTACTTTGTCCTAGTCTGCTTTCCTTGTGAAGTCTGGCAGTTGTTCCGTCAGCTGAGTGGCCGTGTACTAGAAGTGGACAGTTTTGATTGTTTGAACCGGCTGTTGAGTGGAGATATGATCTACTTCATTTCTTTCCTTCTGTTGTTTCTGTCAGTCTGAATTTTTCGTAGCTCTAAATGACCATTGTAGGTGGCTGGCAGGTGCTCCTTCTTTCCTATCAAACAATTGTTCTTGTCTCTCCTTCTTTTTTGTGTTTGTTACTCTCTAGAAATACCTCTATTCTTTGGCACTTATATGACTTTATTGTGTTGCAAGTGCTGTAAACCATACGAAGTGGGTGGTTGGTGGGTGCTCTAGTGTGGTTTGCTCCTTCTTTCCTATCAAACATCTATCGTCCTTATCTCCCCCTCCTTTTTTATGTTTGTTACTCTCTTGTAACACCTCTAATCTTCTGGCGCTCATATGACTTTATGCAGTTGCGAGCGCCGTAAAATCTCTACTAAAACAAACCATAGGAAAAACTAAATGACCATTATCAAGTTGATGTGCTTCTCTTTACTGGAAAAATCAAAAACATCAACTGTCGGTCCTTCTTCTCCTCTTTCCTTCTCTTACTTTTGTTGATCTTTCTTGTTGTGAGCACAAAATGGCCGTTCTCTTATATTGATGTTTCTTCTTTCTCAAACTGACTTTTTTTGTTTGTTTCCTCAGCTTCATCATCTGGCAGCAAACAATATCAAGCTCAAGGGAGAACACTGGGTAAGGATTGTCATATTTTTGGAGTCATCGCAAAAATATATTTTAAAATAATATATCGTCAGTGTTCATTCAACAGGTGCCTAAGTATTTTTTGTTTTCTTCAGTTTTGAGAATTTTTTTTTCAAATGAGAATGACAAAGACAAAGATTGTCTCTCATTCTTTTTCAATGAAAGACTGGGAAGGAAGTCTTTATTGGAATAACGGCTCTGTCTGGAAACCCCCTGAAACTGATTTGAGCAACTGTGGAATGAAACTGACCGTATGAAATTCCACTTTCATTGATCCCCACAGCCCAGCATGGTCCCAACTGATCCAGGGAACCGACCCTCATGTTTGTCAGTTGTGGTCATCTCCATTGACCATGCTCAGCGAGCGGTCAACGTTTCAAGCTTATCTCTGAAATGTGTTGGGATAGTTGGGAGGGATGTGGAAAGATCAGACTAGAGGCAAATTGTCCTGTTGTGTGTTTACTCATGGGGAGTGCTTCTTGTAGATCCTACGTCTCTTCTCTCCGCCTGTTCTGTGTGTCTGTCGTCTGTTCTGTGTGTCTGTCGTCTGTTCTGTGTGTCTGTCGTCTGTTCTGTGTGTCTGTCGTCTGTTCTGTGTGTCTGTCGTATGCTTTCTTTGCCAAAGAACAGCTTTAGTGTGTGGTTGTACTTATCTTGACTTTCACTAAATGACAGTTCTGGAGTTGATTTCCTTCTTTGTCCCTGGGTGGTTTGTGGGTGCTCTGGTATGTTTTGCTGCTTCTTTCCTATCAAACATCTATCGTCCTTATCTCCCCATCTTCTTTTTTGTGTTTATTTCTTTGTTGTAACACCTCTAATCTTCGGCACTTATATAATAATGATAATAATCGATAGCATTTGTATAGCGCATATCCCCGCTCAACAGCAGGCTCTATGCGCTTTACACTCTATTATTACCCCAGCAGACCATAGAACACTCCGAAACATTCTCAGCTTCCCGTGAAGCATACAGTGCAGGCAGCTGATTAAGCGCTCAAACACTAACAAACTGACAAGATCTTTCGCTGTCTATAGCTTGGTACCCATTCCCACCTGGGTGAAGTGAGGAAAATTCGTGTAAAGTGCCTTTCCCAAGCACACAACGTCGGGCCCCTGACGGGATTCGAACCCACGACCTTACGGTTGCGAGTCCAAGAGCCTAACCACTAGGCCACCGACGCCACATATGACCTTATTGTGTTGCAAGTGCCGTAAACCTCCTACTAAAACTAAAACTTCTCTGTCCTCCCGCAGAACCCACAGGTGGACTTGGAGGCCATGAAGATCACAGTCAAGATGGCGGAGGTTCTCATCGGCGCGGGCTGCGACCCGAGGCTGCGCACCAACGACGGGAAGACTCCCATCATGCTGGCGATAGAGCAGGTACCCTATTGAAGGAGAGGCACACTTTGGAGTAATCTGATCAAATCAAAGCTGTCCGGTTTCTTTTGGCTTGTGGAAGTTCCCGGATCGAATTCGCAGAAAATCTGGTTTTTTTTCTCGAGTTCCGTTTCTCTCAGGTCATATTTGACTTGTAAATAACGGGAAAACTCACATTTTTATTTGCATGTTTTGTATGGTTTATCGTTTGTAATTGGAAAACACACATCTTTATTTGCAATTTTTGTATGGTTTATCGTTTGTAATTGGAAAATACACATTTTTATTTGCATGTTTTTACAAAATTTTATGTTAGCTGCTGTGGGATTGTTCCCTAATCTCTAACAATGTTCTGTCGTCTGCTTTCACCTCCTTTCCTAATCTCTAACAATGTTCTGTCGTCTGCTTTCACCTCCTTTCCTAATCTCTAACAATGTTCTGTCGTCTGCTTTCACCTCCTTTCCTGTTCTCTAACAATGTTCTGTCGTCTGCTTTCACCTCCTTTCCTGCTCTCTAGCAACGTTCTGTCGTCTGCTTTCACCTCCTTTCCTAATCTCTAACAATGTTCTGTCGTCTGCTTTCACCTCCTTTCCTGCTCTCTAACAACGTTCTGTCGTCTGCTTTCACCTCCTTTCCTGCTCTCTAGCAACGTTCTGTCGTCTGCTTTCACCTCCTTTCCTGCTCTCTAGCAACGTTCTGTTGTCTGCTTTCACCTCCTTTCCTGCTCTCTAACAATGTTCTGTCGTCTGCTTTCACCTCCTTTCCTGCTCTCTAACAATGTTCTGTCGTCTGCTTTCACCTCCTTTCCTGCTCTCTAACAATGTTCTGTCGTCTGCTTTCACCTCCTTTCCTGCTCTCTAACAATGTTCTGTCGTCTGCTTTCACCTCCTTTCCTGCTCTCTAACAATGTTCTGTTGTCTGCTTTCACCTCCTTTCCTGCTCTCTAACAATGTTCTGTTGTCTGCTTTCACCTCCTTTCCTGCTCTCTACCAATGTTCTGTTGTCTGCTTTCACCTCCTTTCCTGCTCTCTAACAATGTTCTGTTGTCTGCTTTCACCTCCTTTCCTGATCTCTAACAATGTTCTGTTGTCTGCTTTCATTTCCACTTTCTGCCCCACCCCCTCACCTCCTTTGCCCCCTCCTCTGGGCTCCTGACTCTTTCTGCAGCCTTTCTACTGCTACTCCTTGGCTCCTCCTTACTGCTGTCTTTCTGCCACACCCCTGATCTTCTGGTAAGAAGGATCTACACCTAGCCTTCTCGGACAAGGGCGAAAAATCTCGGAGGGCCTGTGTGCAAGTTGCGCACATTAAAGATCCCTTGGTGGTCTAAAATTGATAAGAGTAGGCTTCGGCCGCCACCCGGGCAAAATTCAAAATTTCCTACCAACTGAAAATATTAGGTGTGTCCCGCGCGCTCATATGACCTTATGCAGTTGCGAGCGCCGTAAAACACGTTAAAATTGTTACCTAATCACAATCCACTGGGATTTTGGAAACTGATTTTTTTTTTCATAACTTTTTTTATGGGGAGGATTTTGTTTTGGTCAAACTCTGGTTGTCGGAAAATGCTCCGTGTCTTCTCTCTGTCTTTGGTGTCGGCCACAGACGGGAGACAGGGCTGCCAACCATTACGATTTTTTCGTAATCATTACGATTTTTTCGCCTCACTACAAAGTTCCGATCGTAAGGCAATATATTGCAATTTTTACCGTCAGCAGATTTTTAGCTATAAAAAAATATTTTTAGCTCTTTTTTATTTTATTTTACAAGTCTTAGTGCAGACCTGTAAATCGTCCGCCAATAGTCGGAAAACCGCCAATCTCTAAATCAACCCCGCCCCCCCTTAAAAAAGGAACAGCTGGCCCACTTCGCGCGAGTTAACCTTGCCTACAATAATACCGTACACGAGTAGAAGCATCGCTGCCACACTGCTGAGACCCAAGCAGTCTAAAAATAGATTTTATCAATCGGCTGACACGCGGCGTGAGACGGTGTGCCTTCACCCCGCTCGCTATTTTTTCCGTAATTAAGACATATTTTTGTTCGTTGTAATACAGTAATTTGAAAATGAGAACACTATTAATAATTTTTATGGGAAATTACTAATTTCCTTCATGGTCATTACTAAAAACCATGGAGATGGGTTGGCAGCCCTGCGGGAAGACTTCAATGTTTTCTAAAAACCGAAACCAGGTTTTTAAAACTATGTTGTAAAGCAGGGCTAACGACATGATCATAATGTTTTATTTACTTTACTTTATGTTGTCTCTTGTTACCACACACACATGCACGCACACACACCCACACGCATGCACACACACACGCGTGCGCGCACACACCCACACGCACACACCAAAATGCGGATGGTTGGCAGGTGCTCTGATGTAGTTTGCTCCTTCTTTCTTATCATTCGGATATATCTGCTCTTTCTTTTTTGTTTGTTACTCTCTTGTAACACCTCGAATCTTTGGCACTAATTTGACCCTGTTGTGTACCAAGTGTCTTAAAACTCTCACTAAGAACAAAAAAAACCCCCCGACATCCCAAAATGACACACTTTCTCTCTCCCCCCCCCCCCCCCAGGTGAATGTGGAGCTGGTGGAGTACCTGGTACAGCAGGGTGGCACGGTGTCTTCGGACAAGAACACTGATGAGAAGACTGTTCTTCACCTGATGGCTGAGCAGTGTTGTGCCACCGACCTCACCCCCATGCTCAAGATCCTGGCTGAGCCGCCCGTGAGTGGACACAGTTTCCTCCTCAAATCAGAAGTTTATGTGTAGATGTTCTATAGACAAATGTTTTTGTCAGGGTCGTTCCACAAGCACCATATTGTTTGCCAGAGTTTTCCTTATAGAACTGTTATTTGATTAAAGACGACATCAAGGGGCGTCTTACGATATACTTTGCTTCGGTTTCGTCATTTCCTGAGTAGTTTTTGATTGAAAAGTGACCATTGCCTAAATCATGGTTTTGGGGTTTTCTTTTTCTTTAATATTCTTAAAAACTTCAAGAAATGACTTGGATGCTTGTGGAATGACTGTGAAGAAGTCGTGAATGTCTTTACCGACGAAGTGCACGATAGTCTCCGCCTAGGATCTCACCGCTCATGATCCTAGTACGCTTAAGATCTGGTTGTTTTAAGAAGACAGAATTTTTACTTTAAAAAAGTCGTCTGTAAGATCCTGCTTTGAGGTAAATAAAATTGGTTAAGATCCTGCGTTTCAGATCATAATTTACAGAACAAAAACTCAGACACGCCCCTGAAGGGCCTACTTTTTTTCAATTTTAAAACCAACAAGGGGTCTTTTACAAGTGAAACTTTGACATGGGATCCCTGAAATTTTTTCTATTTTTCGGAGAAGACTAAGTACTTGATTCTGCCTAAGTTAGAGTCAGGGGGGGAGAAAACTTGAGAAAAAAACGGGATTCTGCCAGGTATGGAACTCCGGACCTTTGGGTAGGCAGGTGAACATTATATGTGAGGTGTGCTGACAAAATGAGTTACATTTCGGATTTTAGCCCTATGGAAATTGATGCATCAACTTTAGGAGTTTGTTCAATTTGTAAGTATGGAAGAATAAAGACACAGTAGACATTTTAAAAATGGCATCAATTGAAAATCTGTAAATCTGACCCCAGTGCCGATTTACGGACAATATCTCCTTTCTTGGATTGTGAGAAGTAACTCATTTTGTTGGCACGCCTCACATGTTCTAGTGAGCCCCGTCATTTATCGTGTATCAATTCGATTGTATCAGTGGGACTAAAACGTTTAGGGACATTCACGATCATTTCCAATGGATTAATGTGTTTCAGAGGACCGTGGTCGCTGAACAGAGCAAGGTGGCAGCACCATCAGGGCCGAAGGAGAATGGCAAAGTCAACGCCCAGCCCCTGGAGCAGAAGGAGGCGGAGCCTATGGAGGTGGACACGCCCACTGGGACGGAGAAACCGGCACCAGGTAATAATGATAGATAACATTTGTGTAACGCAAATCCCTGCTCAACTGTAAGTTCTGTGTGCTTCACAATCTATACTGTTACCCCAGCAGATCTGAGAGCATTCAGAAACAACCTCAACTTCCCGTGAAGCATACAGTGCAAGGGGCCATTTTTAGGTGCTAAAACACTAACATACTGACAAGATCTTTGGCTGTCTATGGCTCGGTACCCATTCTCACCTGGGTGAAGTGAGGAAAGTTCGTTTAAAGGTCACAACGCCGGGCCCGCGGCTCAAACCCCCGAACTCCCAACCTCATAATGACGAGTGCGATAGCCTAACCACTAGGCCACCGACGACAGGTACTCCTGGCCCGGCTGTCTGTGTTGGTGGGCCCAGGGATAGAGTTTGTTTGACGAGCTCTCTGTGTTGTGAGGTTAGGAGGAGGGTTTAGGGTTAAGAGTTTATTTACAACACCTATAATCTTTGGCATCTATATTGTCTATTTGTGTTGCAAGTGCCATAAAACTCTTACTAGAATTAAATGAAACAAGAGGTGGTTGTAGGGTGCCATTGCTAGGTGTAATTGTCTTTCCTTTCTCTCTGTTCTTTCTGTGTGTATGTTTTAACTCTTCTTTCCCCTGCATTCAATGACCTTTGTTGTGTTGATGTCCCTGTTTTCTCCAACAAACTAATTTTGTTCTCCCCAGCCGCAGACGGAGAAGCTGAAGCAAAAGCTGTGGCTGCCAACAGCATTAACGGGGAGGGCAATGAGGCTGTGAAGGAGGACAAAGGAGAGAAGCAGCCGGACGCCTCCGGAGACGCCCCAGCTGCAGCAGGCACTGCCGGGACAGCTGAGAACAGCGGGGACAAGAAGCCAGCTGCTGAGACGCCCACATCAACAGCCGCACCCCCCGCTGCACCCACACCCACCACCGCTAGCGCCCCCTCACAGGAAGAGACACTGCGTAAAATGGCCAAGGACCGAGACTTCCTGGGCTTCACCCCGCTCCTGCGCGCATGTCAGGTGTACAGCACCTTCAATGTGAGTGCTGCACTCTCTACAGCTTTTGTTGTAGCCGTCCATTGGAAAAAATAAAGCCATATTTTGCCGATAGCTTCTGATGCGTTTCCTCGATATTTTCCAAATTTGGAAAATAAGCTTGTTTTCACTTCTCTTTATAGTACAGAAAAAATAATACACATCTGGCTGTTTAATCCTGTTGGCCAGGATGACACACTCCGTGTCGTCTCTGTATTCCCCCTGTGACTTGTCCAGCCTGGGATGACCCTGACAGGCTATGTGGAAACAGCTTGGCTACTAAATGATCCAAATTGTGTCCAAGGGGATGTAAAACACTTTGAACCACTGGGGTTTTACAATTCTAAATGAAGCAATCGGTGTGTGCTAGCTTTGTTTCTCAGCCCAGTCCATGCGGTGTAGTGGAAATGTCGAGCATTGACCGTCTGCTACTTTTATCTTCTCCCCCCAGTCATCCCAATCCATGCGGTGTAGTGGAAATGTCGAGCATTGACCCTCTGCTACTTTTATCTTCTCCCCCCAGTCATCCCAATTCATGCGGTGTTATGGAAATGTCGAGCATTGACCCTCTGCTACTTTTATCTTCTCCCCCCAGTCATCCCAATCCATGCGGTGTAGTGGAAATGTCGAGCATTGACCGTCTGCTACTTTTATCTTCTCCCCCCAGTCAGTGCATAGTAGTGACAAAAATAAGACAATCGCTGTGTTTTTTTAATATATAATCTGTGTGCCTGACCAGAGCGGTGTTAGGACAAAAGTCAGGTCGTGTTTACTGTGTGCTTGTTTTGTCAGTCAGTCGAACCAGCGCAGTGTAGTGAGGGACTTTTTAAGGACCCCCGGGCGAGTGTTGAGTTTCTGCGTGCTGTCGGCATGGCTGACCGTTTATGAAGCCACAGCGCCAGAAGAGAGAGAGAGAGAGAGAGTGTAGTGAGGGAAATGCGGGAGTTCATCGTGTGCTTTTTTAATCTGTCAGCCTAACCAGCGTGGAGCCAGGGACAGTTTCAAGGCCCAGAATGCCCTGAACTTCATCCAGGCCCTAGTGGAACTGACAGGATCCGACGTGAACGCAACAGTTGGACCCAAGAACATGCCGGAGGAACCCGAGCTGCACTACGCTCCCGAAGGTAACGTTGTCTTCTTGTTCTTTTTCCTTGTTCTTCTTGTACAATGTTCTTCTTGTTCTTTTTCCTTGTTCTTTTTCCTTGTTCTTCTTGTACAATGTTCTTCTTGTTCTTTTTCCTTGTTCTTCTTGTACAATGTTCTTCTTGTTCTTCTTGTTCTTTTTCCTTGTTCTTCTTGTACAATGTTCTTCTTTTTCTTCTTGTTCTTGTACTTCTTAATCTTCTTCATCGTCTCCTCATTTTCCTCCTGTGAGTGCCAGGTTTGAAACAGACATGGGCGATCATGAACAACTATTTTGTACTGGTCTTTTCCCCGTCACCTATATGTTTAAGTTCTTTAAGTACAAGTGGAACCTTAATTAACGGAAACCTGTGTAAGATGGAAACCTGTCTTAACGCAGTCTGCCTGCTCCACCCTTGTTAAATTCCTCTTTCACTCATTCAATGCTGAGCGCTTCAGCGTTGAAATCCCCTCATACACTGGGCAGTTTTGTTATGGCAACATGAAATTAGGTCTACCCAGGAAAATCAAAGAAAACTAGCGAGCTCAACGGCTGTTTGAGCAGACAAAAAGTCTCCTTGACCTTTCCCATAATGCATCACGATTAGTTGAAATAACTTGATATGGATCAGAGTAATTTTTTCTCGAAAGATAGCGAGGCAGAATGTGAGAATACTGGTTGCTAGTATGTGGGGGGGGGGGGCAGATTTTGCCAGTTTTCTCGTCCACAGCACTGAATGAGTTATTTATCAAGTGGAAACCTGTTTATTATTGTAGTAGAGGGTTTTACGGTGCTTGCAACTGCATAAGGTCATATGGACGACAAGAAACCTGTTTAACGCGGAAACTAAAAAAAAAATCCCTTCCTTTCCTAGGGTTTTTACCTGCCTAAGATGGGAAAATGCTTTGCTCACTCGGCCCTGATTGGAAACTCAACTGGCAAGTTTGGTTCCGCTGGCCCTTAACTCTTACGTCATGCTGGCAGGCGAGGAAGGGAAGTAGGGGGTGCAGTTTGGGGATTGATGTCACCCCATCCATGTGAGCCCTTACTGATTCAGATGGTCAGGGTGATGTGGGTGGGAAATCTCACGAGTGCCGGTGAAATTGCTTGCGTGGCACTCCAGCACAAAAACTTTCACGGGTAGCCAGAGGCCAGAGGTGTGAAATTAGTCTGACCAATGCCTGCCGCCCTGATCATATGGCCACTTGAGAAAAGAGTTCCCCCAATTGTTGTTACATGGCAGTAAGGGGTGGCATTGGTGGACTGTGGGCTAAGTTGGTTGACTGTGGGCTAAGTTGGTTGACTGTGGGCTAAGTTGGTTGACTGTGGGCTAAGTTGGTTGACTGGGCTAAGTTGGTTGACTGTGGGCTAAGTTGGTTGACTGTGGGCTAAGTTGGTTGACTGTGGGCTAAGTTGGTTGACTGTGGGCTAAGTTGGTTGACTGTGGGCTAAGGGAGGACACAAAGGAGATATTCAAACGTTTCTGTGTTTAATAGGTCAAACAGTGGTCCTATGAAATGCAAGCACTAGTGGTAATGGATAAGTCAAACTGAGGCATGCCATGATCAGAGAGGATAGAATTTGAAAGGTGGGAAGTTTTGAGAACAGCTTGCTGACCGGATGAGCGACCTTTGATCCTACGGGCTGGGTCTCTGGAACTCCCCTCCATCTCCCCCCAAATTTTCCTGTTGAAGATGGAATTTTTTTTATGGCTCCCTTGCGATTCCGCCGTACACAGGTTCGACTGTATATTATTCTTGGTTTAGCGCTACATCTTTTGCCTTCTTTTTTTCCAGCAAAAGTAAAATGTTCAAGGCAGTAATGTCTTTTCAAGTATCTGGCAGCTGTGCGAATTTTTAAGTGCGATAACTAATTTTATATTTGTTGATTACTGAACCATATAGTGGTTGGTGGGCAATCTTTAACATCATGACTAGTCCAGGTAACTATATGCTGGGAAATCTTCGTGTTTTGTTTGTCGGGGATTTTGTCAAAATGGGTGGTCTACAACATTCAAACTTCACCTTATTTCCTTTTAGTTTGCAAGCAGAATCTTTCGTCTTTACAGCTGTGAAAGATTTTGTTGCAGAACATGCTGTAATCAATGATTTTACAGGTTTCAGTTGAGTTCTATGTTCAGTATACAGACCATGAATCAGAAGTTTTGTTCTTTTATACATTTTTTCCTTTTTTGTACACCCCCTCCTCCCTCCCTCCCTCCCTCCCTCCCTGCTTTCTTTCCCACCTTCCCTCCCTACGCCCTCCCCTCCTCCCTCCCTCCACTCCATATGCCCACTTCACTCCCTCTGTTCGGCATGCCTTCCTCACTCCCTCCCTCCTTCCTTTGCCTCCCCTCCTTCTCTGCCCCCATCTTCCTCCCCACAGGGAAAAACTCGGCCCTCCACTTCATGATCAACCCAGCGTGTGAGACTGAGAAGGCCAGCATGGGTTCAGGTCTTCGTTTGCTGCTTCGCTTCAAGCCTGACACTAACCAGAGGGACCAAAAGGGGAAGACACCACTCATACTGGCTGTGGAGACAGAGAAAGAGTCTATTGTCAAGGCTCTGGTGAGTCGTGGGGTTGGGGTGGTCTGGAGAGACGGATTATTGTTAAGGAAAGCTTTGGTGGTTGGGG